TTCTCACTTTTTTCCACTTCATATCTCTTTCTCCCTTTCCTTCCTCCCATCACATCACTTTCTCTCCTGCCCCCTTCCTCCCCTTTCTTCTCCCTCCCTCTCTCTCACTTTCTTACTACCATCTATTTAGCAGTTTTTTAGCAGTAGAAATGGCAGCATGGGAAGCAGTTTTTTTAATGCGTGCTCTCGTTATAATTTTCCTTTTCTTACGTTGGTTGAACTTTATGCCTCGTGGCCTTTGGTCCAATGTCTGAGTAGCTAGGTTGAAATAAAAGGTTTTCGCTAACGTGAATTTGAGGAAACTCCCCCCCCCCCGAGGAATAAAAAGAATTGTTTTTTTTTATTGTTTTTAACGAATGTCCCAAAAGTCACAGAGGGATTTTAAAATTGTATAATTTTATTATTTCACTTACAATGTTAGAAAAAAGGGCTTACGGCCGTATCACGTTGAAACACCGGCTCCCGTATGATCACCGAAGTTAAGCAACGTCGAGCCTCGTTAGTTCCTAGATGGGTGACCGCTTGGGAATATCAGGTGTTGCAAGCTTGGATTTGCAGGTAGTGTAATGGATAACGGCTTGGAATTGGAAATCGGAGAACTGAGTTCCAATTCCTGTTGGGTTCGTTATATTCACTTACTCGAAAATAGCATTGGGAAAGGCATGAATCCACCTTTTCTTCCTCTTAATTATCTGGTAATTAATAAGACTTGTATCACCAAAACAGTATTATCTTAAAAATATATATATACAAAGTATTTAGATTTTGGCATTAAATAATCCATAGAGGTGTTGATATGACATTTAAAAAAACAACAACAATCAACAGTGATACCCCCCACAAAAAAACAAAAACAATTCTTTTTTCATACGGATTATATGTCTGATGAAGTCTAAAGAATTAATCGCCTGAAACGTCAGCATAACAAATAACACAAAAGAGTTCAGTTATCCGGACAATGTCTGAAATTTAAATTAGTTTTTGTGTGAATGAAATTTACAGAGTAGAGATAAGTTTTTTACTCTGTTGTTTACAAGAAAGCGCAAGAACCACTCAATGTAGAGGATTAAAGTATGGGATTGTTTTATGGGTTTAAGAATTGTAGATTATAAGAATATATAGGGTAGATAACATTTGGTCGTTGACTTGAAGAGGTTAAAATGGTAGTGGTCGGGGAAGCATAATCGCGGGAGTCTGTTCCACAAACTAGTGGCTGTTGGAAAGGAAGCTGTCCGAATTGAACTTCCTCCTTGCAAGTGGAATACGAAGGGAATGAGGATGATTCGATTGCGAGTATATGGCATAGGGTCTTTCAGTTGTAAAGGTCTGAACTGGTTGAACTAGTGAATGTAGCTTGTTAGAACATTTTCCGTGAAAATAGAGATCGAGTAGCGATTGTCTTGCGACGTTGCGTCTGTGGGGAAAGGGTTGTATGGTGGAAATAATCCATCACCTACAGGGCCACGTAAATGCTTTTGAAAAAGCTGTAAAGTGAGGACTGGACTGCTCCAGCTTAGATAGAGCAGCCATATTCCATTTTCTATTTGATCTGGTAGGAGGAGTCAGATACTTTCTTAAGTGGTATCAAGAACTGACTATTTGCCCAGACTCTTTAACGACGGATCATACATACGGGTTACAATAGAGATGTGTATACAAAATAATAGAACCCCTAAAGCCGCATTTTTAGCAGAATTCGAGGTAAATGTTCAACCCTTTTCGTAGGATTTAAGACATTGTATAACCGTAGCTGGCGTAATGGTTATCAGCGGGCAATAATGGAATCAATGAACAGAATTCGAATTCCGGTCGATGCTGGTTGTGTTTATTCCGCACTAATGTCTTTGGGAAAGGTATGAATTCATTTTCTCTTCCCATAGTTATCTGTAAAATTGTAGGTGAGACTAGGTTCATTAGCCTCCGTAGAACAACCAATGTAAGTGAAGGGCGTCTCCTGAATTCAAAACAAGGCTGAAAAAGGACGGGCTACATCAAGATTTCTTGCCCGAGACACACCCACTGCTGCTGCTGCTGCTGCTGTACTCCAATGAGCCTACAGTGGTTTATGCGTTCCATGCATGCAATCATAATCGTGGTTGGATGAAATTAAAGATTAGTAATATGAATGTATTGCGTAATAACTTTTACATAATACTTAATATTTTTTGGAAATACGAAAAAAATTTTTTTAAAAAAAAGTAGTTTCATTTTTGAGGTCAGTTAGCATTAAAAGCGTATTATACTGTTTTTTAGTAAGCGATTTGCCAAACATTGTAATGAGCAATGAAAAGTTGATACTTTACAACGATATGAAATGCAAGAAGCTTGTCAAAGAAGTTTTTATTCATCCATCGAATTACGATTTATTCCAGATTTTATGCAATTATTTTAATTAAAAAATAATTTCAGTTCTTTGGAAGATTTTTAATAGCGCTTAGAACACTAGTTTTGCCACGGAATATAACAAGATCTGAGAGAAAGAACTTAAGGAATTGCCAGAATATTTCGGGCTATTTAATATCGGATTTTATAGAAAGAAGAAGAAGAAGAAGAAGAAGAAGAAGAAGAAGAAGAAGAAGGAGAAGAAGAAGAAGAAGAAGGAGGAGGAGGAGGAGGAGGAAGAGCAGAAGGAGTAAGACGTCACTTAGTTCGGAGATTAATGATGGAAAAATAAAAATAAAAAAGGAATCATTTAGGAGACAACTATGCATTAAAAAAATGATCTTTATCCTTGTCAATGCACTCAATTCAGTCATGAATATTAACAACATCATACAGTAAAAATTCCAAATAAAATCCGTTTCAAGACTGCGTGTCAAGCTACGGACTTAGTAGTTAATGTAAATCTGTATTTAAATATGTATGAATATATATATATATGTAATATAAATAATATATATATATATATATATATATAACGTGTAGGTGTACTACCATATGACTGTCAGTTTCGCACATGTTCTGATTATCGGTTGTTGTGTGAAACTGACAATCGCCAGGCAGTGTTGATTTGTATGGTCACACTGTTTATATATATATATATATATATATATATATATATATATATATATATATATATACGGACAATCTATCATAACTATGGATCACTTTTCATCATAAATATAGCAAAGTTTAAACAAACGCGTCATAAGAAAAATTTTTCATATATATATATATATATATATATATATATATATATATATATATATATATATATATATAAAAGAACGAAAGAGATATACGTGTGCTTTAATATTAAATTAATACGTTTTCCGCTATAATACAAACACATATTTCTTCCGTTCTGATCTGAGGAAGCCGATCTAACGGTGGTGAAACGCATAATCAAGTCAATACCAAACTTTTACTGGATTCTATATACTTTATACACACACACACACACACACACACACACACACACACACATATATATATATATACATATATATAATATTTCTAAAAAAATAATGGAATTTTTTAAATTTATTAAACCGACAGATTTTATCACTTAAACGATATTTTTAGTGGATACCCATAGTTGAGTAGACGCTCCGTTTATTTATAAATTATTATTTATTTAATTAATTTTCGTCTACCGACCTGTGCGCTATAAGTAGCGTTTAAGTGATAAAATGTGTCGGATTAATAAACAAATAAAAAAAACAACAATCCATTACTTCTGTAGAAATTGCTCGTTAGGAGACGAAACTGAGAAGATATGAATATTTCGATAATCGTTGAAGAAATTTGCTCGATCAGTAGGACACTTCGTGGCCGAGTTGATCTAAAGCTCGTCGGATCAAACGATGGTTCCTCTTGATAAGCGGGGCGCAAGTTCGAGCCTATTTCTCTAATAAGAGTTCTCGAATATTCAGGCCGATAGACGAAAATGAATATACTGCTTAATAAATAAACAGAGCATCTAAGTGATGATGATGATGATATATATATATATATATATAAGTGATTTCATAAGTATTGAACATTGGAACGTAACAATAACAAAAGAAAAAAATAATGATTACCTTCATTTTTCATCTTTAATTCGGGTGTTTAGCGATGCTGTAAATTGGAGCAATGGATTCAGTTGATTGGCAGCTATTTTAGCTTGAAACGATCACCTGCTTCTTATTCATTCTTCATATATATATATATATATATATATATATATATATGAAGTCAGTCTTCAAAAAAGAATTCCGGAGAGTCACCCTAGTTAATTTTCGTGGAGATATCCAGGGTTTTCGTATTTGCTAGCTGTATCTTTCACTCAGGGTTTCTTTTTGAATTCAATTTTTCGTTAATTCGAGAAAGGGAATAATTGTTTGTCTTATTCCATCACTCAGCTTGTAATTGGTTTTACAAACAGAACCCCCCCAAAAAAAAAAAACACTGACCTTAACGGAAAGACGTAGGACATACGGTGGTGACATTTATTATCTTGATTTTTAAGACGAATATCAGTAGAGGATATTGCAGAAAATCAGTTAATCTTTTGAAGGTTTAATCGAATTAAACAGCGTTCATGTTTTACCTTGTCCAAAATATTATATTTTAGATGAAGCATTTTCATTCTTGATTTTAATTTTTTTTTTTTTTGCTTTTTAAAAAATCTTTATTGTGGCTTTGGAGATTTTCAACCATTAAATAGCTTGCATCGATCAGAAATAAAAACGTAGGTTCCCCGCTGAGATTTGAACCCGTATCCACTTTACTTGTAGGTGCGGCTTACGGCTTTGACGACGGTGACCTATCATCAGCGTGTTCCTATTCTTTATCTGATTTTATTAATGCCACATTTTTGTTTACTACCTCGCTTACTTTCTTTCTTTCTTTCTTTCTTTCTTTCTTTCTTTCTTTCGTAGTCTTTAAGTTGCATGAATATTTTAGACGAATCATTTTCTTAATTTTTAACGAGTTTATCTTTTCATCTTAATTGTTACTTTTTGTTTTATCTCAATAGGATTGTTTTACATTGTATTCCGCCATCTTTGAAATTATTGCGAGTCATTCTTGGTGGCTATTCGTGCTTTTGTTCCAGTTGTTCTCCATTTTCTCATTAGTAAGATGAGATACTTTGAGCCGCCTCTTCTTGCAGTTTGTGTTAGGCATTGTGCTTTGTTTTCGGCTATTTTTCTCCTTCAATAATTTTCAGGGATCATTTTGCTTTCCACAAAGCTGTTCTTTTGCCGCCCCAAAACTAACTCTTCTTTCGATGTTTTTCTGCACTGTTTCGTTTAATTTGGGTTGCTATCCAGTCTGCTCGCTTCCATAATTTGCTTTTGGGGCCGCCCACTTGAATACTTGAAACACCTACAAATCACAAAATAAAGAACAAAAGACGGTTAGTTCATAAAAATATTAACAAGAGAATGTAGTTATAGAAAAAAAAAGTCAATAAAAACATGACAAAAGTAATAAAAAAATGCGTAAAAAAAAATACACCGGAAAAAAAAATGAAACAAAACCTTTCTGACTCATAACCTCTCAGTCGCCATATTGTATTGAAAAAAACCTCTCTTCAAAATGGCAGAACTCATAAACA